GTTTTTTTACTATTTTATTTAGAAATGTGGAGTCACAATTTACATTATTTGATGTCTTGCTTTGTTTATGGACTCTCGACATTTTGCGCCGATATAATTATGTCTTCAATAGCGAGTGAGATTGAAAATACCCATATCACAGAATTTTTATACATGTTTTTTCGTATTTTATTATGTATTCGTTTTAATTTTTATAATATCATTGTACATTGTTAACGATAGTTGGTTCTTAACATTGAAAATGACCTAATTAAGGTCGAAACGTTTGTTTTTAAATTTTATTAAATTTTATTAAATTTTAAATTTATTTTTAATTAATGACTGTTTATTACTAAGACCTTTATATTTTAACTAATATTTGGCTCGTAGCCCTATTTTATATTAATTATTATTATTTTTTGTTCAACTTTATTTTCGGGAACATATGAAATAAACTTATAAGAGTGAGTTTATTTCAAATTTATTTCGAAATCGCACAAAGCATCAAGTTTTTATTCATATGGTCCCGAAAATGAAGTTGATCAGAAAATAATAAATAGTTATTATTGCACTTGTCAATCTGGTGCAAGAATTATTAGGTACATGCGCCCATGTGGTTAGCATTTTGTAGTACCTTGGATATGCACGTTATCAGAGGGATGTAAAATATCCAGATGGAAGTTTATTAAATACAACTACAGATGCAGCAAATAGAGATAATCAAGAAAATATTGATAGAGTGGAGATTGTAATAGAAGAAGAAAGGTAGATTAGGAGCGTGATTACATGAAACACGTACGCAAGGATATACACACGCACGCACGCACGCACGCACGCACACATGTAAATATATATGTGTATGTGGATATACTTGATTCGTGAAAAAACACATGATCATAGATTTCCACTTTAAACGTTTCTGGACAGAAAAGTTCTGAATTTAGAGAGTCATGTCCATTGAGATTTTTGTTCAGGACGTCGAGGACTACAACATACTTCAATTTCAGTCAATTTAACCGGGGGACAGATTCCATATAAACTGTGCGGGGTCCTTTATGAATTAATTAGTCGGCGCGTGTCGCCCGGGAGATGGTGCCCTCGCGTAAGCGCGGCGCTACAAAGAGTTAATGCAGGTACGCAGGCGAATCGTACTTCGCGAAATAATAAGTGCGAGAGAGAGAAAAATTTCAGGGGCGGAAATTCTCGCGGAAAAATCGCGCCGAACGTAACAGTCCTATAAAAAACTATTAAAAAATGAAGGGCTAAGTATCAGTATGTAATTATAATTCCTTAAATTTAATTTTTTAAAGAATTAAATGTGTTTTACCACTTTCACACATATTTAAAAAATTAAGATGTTTTATAAGTAAAAAAATTTTTATTTTAAATAAGTTTTCAAAGCTATTTTATGTTTCTTATTTTTAAATATTCGTCGTACCAGTCAGCAGTCGGAGGAGTATTTAAAATAATTTTATTTAAAATATATATTTTAAACGTATTTAATATGAGATGAGAGGTATAGCGGAAAGCGGAGGCGAATCGAAAATCGGCCGATAGTTACATACACTTTATGTACGTTCACTTTGTACTGGCATCTTTAATTAATAATCAGTTACTTTTCGTGGTAATATATTACAATTTAACTTGTGATTGAACTGCAATAGTTTTAAATATACGTCATATCAGTCAGCAGTCGGTAGTATATTTAAATGATGACTGCTCGATTTATCGGCGAGCCGGGTGAGGGTGTTTGTGCGACTCGCGTCCGCCCTTCCACAGCAAAACAATCCCCAAGGCTACTTTCGCTAACCATCTAATAACATATTTAAATGCGGACAGAGAAGAAGAAGAAGAAGAAGAAGAAGAAGGAGACGTTTCTTAACTTTTCATTAAAATTACCACTTTTCAATCGCTTGTATTTCCAGAACTGCTTGACTTATTTTAATTTTTTTTTGGCTCAAATTACTCGTGGTGATGCCGCCTTTCAAGACATATAACGTTTGATTCAAAATTTTTTATATTTTAGTAGTTATGCACTTCCCAAAAATGGACTTTGGTGGCTCGGGATACGAGACTTGTAGCGTCTCTCAGTTTTTGAACATGGCCGGAGACACTACCGTGT